ACCACTGGTGAAGCCCATTCGGAAGAGCTTTGTTCTATTATGCCTCTACTGAGGAGGTCTTCAATTAAACTTTTGAAGTTCTTCCGTGCAGCAAATGGTACTGGTCTCGTTTTTTGTTTTATAGGCTTGTGATACGTTGTGTCAATGTCATGGGCCACTAAATCAGTTTGTGTCAACTCTTCATCTGTCACGGCAAACGCATCATTGAAAATGGACATCAATTCGATAGCTTTATCCGTCAGTTGCGATCTCTGCTTTATTACTTCTAAAAGTCGTTCCAGTCTTTCCTCGTAAGAGGTCCACTTTTTGGTTTCACCCACGTCCAGCATATCTCTTTCTAGCTCGAAATGCTTCGGCTTTACCCACTCTTCATTTCTCCACTCCCCAACTACTTCTCCTTTTTGAAGTACTAGGGCTTCCGTTGTGTTATTGGTCACCGGTATGACTGTTTCCTTATCTATGATGCTACATAGGCCGTCCATTATGAGTGGGTGTCGTGAGGAAACGACTGCTGTGTCCAAGCTGCCTTCATGGGCGCAGGTCAACGATACAAGTTTTGTTGCTCCCGGAGGTATAAAAGTTCTCTGTACTATCTCGGCTCGTACTTCGGACTTCCTACCATCAGCCTCGAGACTATGCGGCTGTTGAGAGCTTGTCTCGTTGAGGCCTTGTACTATTATAACAAAACGCTTTAGCGCGTTCGTTCCTAAGATCACCATTTCGCCAACGTCTTTTCCGACGAATGCTGGTATAAATTTCTCACCCTCCTCAAATTGAACGCATACTCTGATGGTATCCAGGAATGCCATTAAATTTTCTGATGCATCTCTTATCCGGACTCGAGGAGGGAGTAATCGTTCAAGTTGATGATCTAGGTTTATCCCAGAGCCTATTGCCCTTTTAAGCAGCTTCACCGGAATCACCGTCACTTGAGACCCCGTATCTAGTAATGCTTGTGCCTTGATTCCAAAAATAACAATATCCACCACTGTCTTCTTACCGAAGAAATCATCAAACTCTTTGTCGTCGGTCTTTGCTTCCGTTGTACACACCCATTTTTCTACCAATGCAGCACAAGATCCGGGCGGCTTCTCGGCTCATGCTGCTGCCGTCACAGCTTTCGCTTGCGACTGTGGGGTCCGACAATCTCTGGCCACGTGGCCTGGCTTCCCACAAGCAAAGCATGGGCGCGACTCTTTTCTTGCACCATTTTTGCCGAACTGTGCGTTTTTGTTTTTGGTGCGACTGATCCCAGTTGATTCCACACTATTTTCTTGGTGATTCTCCTCCATCACTAGGGGAGCTCTGAGTTCAGCACTTCGCTTCTCCCACCTTAGTTTCAACTGCTGCACAAGCTTACTTCTGCCTGTCTTCCTACATTCTTCCGCAATTTTGGCATTTCTTTCTAAGCGCAGTGCCGTTTCATTCACCTTTTCGTAGACTTCCGCACTTGTGCTAGTCTCGAGCGCTTCTGTTAAACAGTAGCTGCCACTCCAGCTGGCTAATTGTCTGCTCAGGATCTCTGCTTTCTGCAGCGCAATCACTTCTGGTGGAACGTCTGGGTCTCAATTCGCTCCAATACCCAACAGAATTCAGCAACTGACTGGTCTTCCCTCAAGGTCAATTTCCTTAGGTCAGACAATGCCTTAATTTTTTCGCTATTACCGTGAATAGCCATGCGTCTTTTCATCGCCTCGATAACCCCATCAAACGACCCTTCTCTAATCTCGGC